GAGACTCTAAACATGGGTAAGGTCACCTATTGTCAAAAACTGCATTCCTCGTATAGGCGATGCCCAAAGAAAACACGCTTACGATTAAAAAAAAAAAGAAAACCATTGATGTCTTATCGCTTATCTTCTGTATTTGTATTCAAAGGCTATTGCTGTGTATACGTATTATGGTACAGGGAACAAGAATTCCTAGGTTCTATTATTGGATCAGTCCCTGATAAACACAGTATCTGCCAGTGGAAAATATCAGGTGCTTGGAAATTCAAAGCTGACACATTCATAACCAGAAGGTACTTATCTGAGCGCCTAGTGTGTGCCCAGAATTGAATGCTGATTTGAAGACACACATAGTAGCCTGGTGACTGGAATATCAGCATAAAGAGAGGTAAAACAGGACATGTCAAAAGGAGCTAGATGTTCCCTGGGACAGAGAGGCAGCCCAGCCAGAGCTGCATGAGACACAGTCCCTGCCCACAGGAGCACACAAGGCAGTTGTGCTTGTTGCTTCACTGGGTTTCAACTCCACGCCACACTATCCCTCCTCTGCCCACACATCTGTCTCATGTGCTTCTCCCTCTCTCCCTGCCTGCGTCTCAGATTACCGCTCTGCCCTGTATTACCTCTGTTACTGGAGGGTTTGTATCCTTTCCAGATCCGAATGGCTGTGGTGGCCAGAGCTGCAGTGACTGCCTCTCACTGTGGATGTGCCTCCCTCAGCCCACTCAAGTCAGCCAGAAGTCACAAAGGCCAGCCAGAGAGATGTGGTACAGACAGAGGCAGGGCAATGAAAACCAGTGACTTCCTGAGCTTCAGAAAGAATACTTTGGGATCCAGCAAGTAATCCTGGCCCTTAAATGGGAGCTCTAAAAGAGGCCAGTACATGCCATCCTTCTGTCTTGGATTTGAGCCCAAATATCATCCCTTGGCTCTGAGATATTTCATCTCTAGAAACCCATTTTTTTTTAAGTGGAGTCTCGCTCTGTCACTCAGACTGGAGTGCAGTGGTGCAATCTCAGCTCACTGCAACCTCTGCCTGCCGAATTAAGCAATTCTCCTGCCTCAGCCTCCCTAGTAGCTGGGATTACAGGTGTGCACCACCACGCCTGGGTGTTTTTTTTAATCTTTTTTAGTAGAGATGGGTTTTGCCATGTTGGCCAGGCTGGTCTCAAACTCCTGACCTCAAATGATCCGCCCGCCTCGGCCTCCCAAAGTTCTGGGATTACAGGTGTGAGCCACCACCCCTGGCCTCTAGGCCAGAACTCTGCCTTCAGATAGAATCTTTGCGGATCCAATACAAACAAATGGGTATATAACTTGTTAAAACCTGCCTAATCGGAGAATCTTTAACTTCCAACAACAATTTGTTCCCAGGGCTGCTTTTCAGCCAGTACATACCAGGATAGCCGCACCACTTACTAAAACACTGAAATCCTTATGCATGTGTTAGAACAGTGGCTGCCCCAGGCCCTCTGAGTGTCCCACTGCCACCTGGACCCCTCCCCGGGACAGCTCCATGATCCAGCAGCTAAAGAGTTAATGTTGGGCCCAACAAGGGGAGCCCAACATTAACTGGTTCAGGACCCTGTCCCAGAACCACCATGCCACACCAAAAGTATTGTTACCCTTACCTGTCCCGTTCTACGATGCTACCATATTCTAAAACTTTCAACCGCTTTCTACCAGCTACTGAATAAATACCACTCTTCAAGGTTTCTATTCAGCCTTCCACACATAGCATCATCCTCTGTTCTCCTTATACCCTCTGTTTCGCCAACCTCAGCTGCTCAATATTCTCAAACGCAAACTTTCCCCGACGCTGGGTCTTTGTTGAAATTACTCTTTCTGTCTGGAATAGCCTTTCTGTATCCACCAAAATCTAACCAACTCTTCAAAATGTCCCCAAATGTCACCATTTCCACGAAATATTAGTTGGGAGAGCTGTGCCCCCCATTTCGAGAGGTGTCACAGAAACATATGGGTCCTATGTTTGCAAAACTCAATGACTGCTTTATATTACAACTATTTTGATATAGGCACCTTAACTTTCCCCCTAGATAAAGCTGTATATGCTAAAAACCACGTCCTGGTCATCACACCTACATGGCTTGGCACAATCCCTGGCTCAAGGTATGCGCTAAGTAAATATTTGTGTACATGAATGAATGAACAGTCCTAATTCTTTTGTCCACTTTCTATTTGTTAAGGATTTTGCTTGTTTTTCTCTGAAGCCACTCCAGTTGTGGTTGTATCTCCTTCTGCACATGGAGCCAAATTGTACATCTTTCACATCTTAAACTACTGGGTTATTTCATGAAGATAAAGAAGGAAGTATGCTCCCCTGTCATTACTGGTAACCCTGGAGTTTGTGACTGCCATCTCTCCATACTCTTCTTCCAGCACCAGATCCAGCACAGGGACAGGCAAATGAAAGGTTGCTGGTAATGGGGGCTGGCCTTACAGCTGACAGGGAGCTGTGGGTGGTGGAGTGAGTTGGCAGGGATTGCTAGAGAGGGGAGGCAGGGTGGTTTGCTGGAAAGCAGAGCCAACAAGCTGGTTCTGGTTGCTGTGGTTGAGGCCAGGGGTGCAGGCCTGGGAGGTGCAGTTTTACTACCCTGGTTCCTGATGGTATCCAAGAGTGTGGAGCTGGGAATGCTAGCAACCCCCTTTCCACCTCTCCTTTCCTAATGCCTCCTCCCGGCTCTCCCTCCAAAGGAAAAGCTCTGAGCTGGGAATGAAACCTACAGGAAAAGAGGGAACTTTGATGCAAGATGTCTGGGCTTCTTAACAACAAAAGGATGGGAGACAAGGAGGCAGAAACCACAGCTCCTGTCTAACTCTCATTCCACAGGGAAATCGAGAGTAGAACATAAGGGGACAGCCCAGGACAAAAAGACACCCTGCACAATAGACGAATTTCAGGGTTCTAAGAGGAGAGAGGACACAAGGTGCATCAGTGTGCAAGCTTAGCCTCCTGTTAAAAACCATGAGTAAGGAAACAGTCGATTCTGGAATAGAAGGCTGGGGAGAGCTTTCTGGATAATTGGTTTGGAAAAGGAAACAAAAAATAAGGAAACGCAGTCAGAGAGTTAAGATTCATCTGGGAGGGGAACCCAACAGACTCAAGAACTGATGGCTTGGAATGAGACAGCCAACAGGAGACAGAGGCAGAGGTCGAGGGCCAGAGTGTAAGATTATGACTGTGGCAAACGAGATCCAGGTTTGAGAAGAAAACACACCTGAGGTAAAAGAAAAGTGAGGAGAGGGAGAAAGGGAGGTCACTGATTCCAAGGTCACAAAGCAACTGCTTTCCTCTCTGCTTTTAATTTGTGCACAAGATCCCACCGGTTAAACAAAATGATGGCTACACTGGGAACAGGTGTCGCCTCCCAGGCCCCCACCCACACACACTCCGAAGGAGCTCATCCATTTGGGCCTGAGTGGCCATGGCGGGGGAGAACAGACTCACTCTGTCTTTCAGAAGGAAGAACAGGGCCCAGAGGAGGGAAGAATTCGCTACGGGCAGGCAGGCTGTGGTCATCAGAAGAAAGCACTGCTGTGTGGAGCCGTGGCCCCGGGGTGGAAGCTGTGGCTTCCAGGTGATGTGCGGAGCTCTCTGGCCCTGCAAATGCTTGCGCGCACATCAGTCTTCGTATCCAGACTGAAAGACACCTTGGAGACCATTTAGACCAAAGTTCTGATTTTCACCTGAGAAGCTGTCCTTTTTCCCTTGACTCCCCCGCTAGTTAGTGGCAGAGCCAGTCTTCTCCAACTCACAGCCGGAATTATTTCCATCACCACAGAAAGGTTAGGCCATAAATACACATTTCCAACCTGAACCAGCTCAGCGACTGTCCCTAGTAATTCTGTCTGTCTGGCCACAAGAGAAGGCACAGCACCACACCCAACTCTGGGTAGAAAGCTGACGATAGGTCAGAGTCAGAGTATCTTCTCCGCAACTTGCTCAGCCACTCTGTCCGAGTTTCCCCGAGGCGGGAGGGAAGGGAAGGCATGGGAGGCCAGGTGTCAGAACTTTGAACCTCGGCTCCTCCGGTTTGGGTTGGGCACCTGGTAGTAATGGGCGTTTCTCCATTTCTTTTCCCAGCTATTCCAGGATCTTTTACAGCCCCTGACACTGAGTTTTACTTTGTTAGGCCCATCCACAGTACGTTGAACACCGCCTCGCACAGCCATACCTACTGATGTAAAAAGGCAAAGAGACCATGCTCTCCTGTTTTCCTAGGAGGAAACTGAGGCACGGAAATATTAAGTGGCCTTGGCTAAGTTAGAAACGGAAGTAGGAATCTACCTGCTGCCCGGTCCACTGTGCTGTCCATCATCTCCTTAAACGGGGAGTTTGCTAGATCGCTCAGGGTTCAGAAAAGTAGCAGAAGGGGCGGCCAGAACAGGAGCGGGAGGGCGCAGCGAGGAGGTGGGAGACTCAGGAACCGAGGACGGGGCCGGGAGAGGAGTGACGCAGGGGAAGCGGGGAGGAGAGGGGACTCTCCGAGGTATGGAAAAAAAAAGAACCCGCTGGAAGATGCAGCGGGAGAGGAAACAGTGAGCCAAAGAGCAGGCGGGGGGCAAAGTTCCCGCTGCGCGGACTGGAGCGCGCGCCCGGGCGTGGACGGCCGAGGGCATCCCGCACCCGAATCCCCAGCTCGCGCGTGGACCCCACGGACCTCCTCCCCGGGAGCCGCAAGCCCGGAGCGGCTGGAGGGGCCCGGACTCCGCCAGCGTCTCGGCGGAGAGGGGGAGCCTCCGTCCCGGTCGCTCTCCGCGGGGAGCCGCGAGGATGCCCCGAGGATGCCCCGGACCCACACGGCCGGCAGGCAGGCCCGGCTCGGGGATTCTGCGCTCGGCCCCGCGGCTTCCCCCGAGTCCGCGCGGGGCGACGCCGGGCACCTGGGGCGGGAAGCGGGTCCGGGGACGGGGTGAGGCGGGTCCCCCGACGCAGCAGCCGCCCCGCTCCGCGCCCCTCGCCTGCCCTCGGCGCTACTTACTCCGGTTCAAGGGGTTCCCGCCGCCCTGGGCCGACGCCACCAGCTCCAGATACAGAGTCCAGAGCCCCACGGACACCGCGGCGAGCGCCAGCAGCAGCCGGAAGCGCCTCCGCAGCAGCCTCACCGGGCGCAGGAGCAGCTGGAGCCGCGCGGCCCGGGGGCTCCCCATGGCGCTGACCGAGGCGGCCGCCGCCCCCCGGCCGGGCCCCGCGCCCCGCGTCCCGGCCCAGCGTCTCAGGGCTGCGCCGAGGCCGTCTCCCCCGGGCGCTCTGCGGCGGGGCGCGGGCTCATGCTCCGGGCGCAGGTTCTCTCCGGAGCGGAGCCGGCTCCTCTCTCCCGCGGTGTTCCGCGCCGGGCTCTCCTCCCCACGCCGCTCCCGGTCGCGGGCTCGCGGCGGCGCCTTTCCCCCCTGCGCGCGCCCTCCTCGCGGCCGGAGGAGTTTCCCCGGCGCCCGCCCCGCCCCGCCCGCCCCGCCCCGCTCCGCCCCGCCCGGGCTCGGACTTCCCGCCCGCCGACCTGGCCCGCCCCGCCCGCCCCGCCCTGCCCCCGCCTCCGGACGCACCCCGGCCGGGCTCCGGGACTCTCCCCGCTCGCCGCACTGCCCGCCCCCGCCCCGCCCGCCCGCCCCCCGGGCCAGGTGGCTCCGCCCCAGGAGCCGAGCGCCGAGGCCGCTGTTGGCTTCCCGAGGGCGAGCGAGGGGGGGGTCGGAGAACTGGTGCCGGTGCCTCCGCGGACGGGGCACGGGTGGGATGAGCAGGGGCGAGCGCTGGTCTGGACTCGGTGACCGAGGGAGACGTGGTCCCCGCCCCGACGCCTGGCGGTTTTCAGCAGAAGCGAAGGGGAGGCTGGTTCGGGCCACGCCCGAGGCTTTAGCTCAGAGCCTCTCGTCGCCCACAGCAACGACCCGACTCCTACTTGGCGATGTTCGTGGGGAGCCGCTGGACACTTATCTCAGACACAGCTTCGTTTTCCGGGTGAGGTTTGCAGACCTTTGTTCCCCGCCTGAGCCACGTCTCCGAGGCCCCGGGGAAGCCGTGCAGCTGTCCCCGGACGCGGCTGGAATGGCTGTTTGAAGAGAGTGGGTGTTTGAGGGTTCCGAAAAAGAATTTTAAAAGGAAAAGAAAGGTATTCAGTCTTAGAGTTGAAAAGATCCGCAAGATAAGCCAGGCACCGTGGCTCCCGGCTGCAGTCCCAGCACTTTGGGAGGCTGAGGATCTCTTGGTCTCCGGAGGTCAAGGCTGCAGTGAGCCGTGATTGCCTCATTGCACTCCAGCCTGGGCCACAGAACAAGACCCTGTCTCAAAAATAAAAAACAAAAATAAAAAAAAATCAGTATTCCAGTCCTCTGCTTTCAGGCAGGTAAAGCATTATTATCTTATTTAAATTAGATAAAGTATCAAGGGGCAGAATGAACTGCCCAGGGTCATTCAGTAGGTTATACTGCAGTTTTCTTTTCCATTATCTCTTCTGGGAAAAATGGTCAGGAGACTATGGGAAAAGCGAAGGGTCAAAGTGTTCCTGGACATTTTTAAATCAAATGAATATCACACAAGTACTGTTCCAAGACAGAGGTTCTCACAGAATTGAGAGCTGTGTTTGCCTTCTCTCTGTTCTCACCTCAGTTGGATATTCAATAGTTTCTACAGGACTGTTCCTAATTAGCCTCCCCAACTCCAAGCTTCCCATCTCATCCTCTCCACTACCACCAGATGGTCTTCATAAAAAGCCAGGCATGGTGAGACGCACCTGTACCCCTAACTTACTAGGGAGGCTGAGGCAGGAGGAGTGTAAGGCTGGAGTGAGCCACAGTCATGCCACTGCACTCCAGCCTGGGTGACAGAGCAAGACCTTGTCTCAAAAAATAAATAAATAAATAAAAATCTCGTATGTATTTACACACCTGCTCAAAAATATCTGATGGCTTCCAATGCTTATTAAGATGCACACTGTAAATCCAGAATTCAAGGCCTTCCAGAACCTTTTCCAACTTTATGTGACCACATGAAACCTGCTCCAGCTAAAACGAGTTTATTCAGTACCCTCCAACATATTTTCTTTTCTACTTGGTCAACTTGTACCCTTTATCCAAGGTCCATTTCAGATTCTATAAAGCTTTCTTGGACCAGCCAAGTCCTGAGCAACTCCTTCCTTCTTGGAGCTTCAGTAGAACTTGCCATCTGTCTCACCATCTGATATGTTGGAACTTACTTGGAGTGTGTGCGTCTTGTTTCCCCAACCTCACTGTAAGGCTTCAGAAATGGGAGCTGCATTTCCAGTGGGTGGTACAATGTCCATTTAGCACTTAGGAAGGTTTGAGGATGGGGTAGCACTTTGAGCAAACATCTCCCAGAACTTCACTGTAGTTCTTTAGCAAAGGTGAATCCAAAGGACAGTTCTCTAATTGCAGCCCCTGGGAAAGGTCTCTGTGAAGTTCCAAAGCCACAGATTCCTGCACTTCTCATGTTCTTCTTTCTTTCCACAAGTCCGAGATAGGAGCAGCCAGCATGTGCACAGCCTGTGCGAGCTCGGCTGAGTCAAGTGGGAAGTGACCGGGCCCTGTAAATACAGTCCCTGTCTCATTAAGGGCAACCCAACTGGATGTTAGGCTGAGTCACTCTTAACACTTTGTCATAGAAACAGGTGGCAGCCTTGCCACAGTTCTCTCCTCAAGACTGAGAAAGCTCATGCAATCACTTCAGTCAACCAAATGCTTGAAGCATCTATTATATAGGAACTGGGAGAGATCTAAAACAAGAAGCATGCTGTTTAGTTGAGGAAAAAAGATAGTCCACAGGAAAAGAAGTCTGACAGTTTAAAGGCCAAATTTATGGTCCAAACATGAATCCCAAAGAAATTTAGAAGAGGGCCGGGCGCGGTGGCTCAAGCCTGTAATCCCAGCACTTTGGGAGGCCGAGACGGGCGGATCACGAGGTCAGGAGATCGAGACCATCCTGGCTGACATGGTGAAACCCCGTCTCTACTTTAAAAATACAAAAAACTAGCCGGGCGAGGTGGCGGGCGCCTGTAGTCCCAGCTACTCGGGAGGCTGAGGCAGGAGAATGGCGTGAACCCGGGAGGCGGAGCTTGCAGTGAGCTGAGATCCGGCCACTGTACTCCAGCCTGGGCGGCAGAGCGAGACTCCGTCTCAAAAAAAAAAAAAAAAAAAAAAGAAATTTAGAAGAGGAAGGAGATCACCCTGTACCTCTTGATTTTTTGTCCTCCTCTTATTTCTACTTTGTTTTTATAACTTGAGCAGATCATTACTTTCCTGGCTTACGGTGAGAGGGTGCCAGGAGTTGAAGAGAAAAGAGGCCAGGACATTCTTGTGGCTCTCCTCTCTCCCTCTTCTGTTCCCTTCTGTGGGTGACACCTTGGCACTGAGATATCCCTCACAGTCAGACCCCACTTGCTCCACATCCCTTTTTGACTCCTGGTGATGTCACAGCAGGGGAAGAGCTGAATTTTGAGACTCAAATTTCCCAATTAGCTCAGCTCCAGAACTAAGTATATGGATTGGGGTATCATGGTGGCAAATTTTGGTAGCATCATATATTGTCACAAATGTCCATTCACTGTCAGCGTCAATTTACCTGGCTACTCATCAGTTCTTCTGATGGTTTTCACTGTCCTTTCACCCTCCCACTTCGGCTGCAGCACCTGACCCAGAATGGCCCAGGGTCACATTGTACAAATTGCACCAAAAAGGAAACATAATTTCCATCATACACCTGCAATAATGGTAGAAGGGCCTGGTCTTTGCGTGACCAGAATATCAGAGGCAGGGCAGGTCAAATCATAAAGTTTCTTCTCCCAAATTACACAGGCATTGTAAGAAAGTCTGACCAAAGTTTTCTAAAATGGGCCAAGGTTAGCACAGGGACCAGAAAATTCTGGTTTGTGGAGAATTCAGAAGGGAAGGTTGTTTAGTGACCTATAGGTATGGCCTGTTGTCTGCAGACCAAGTCTTATTCTACTCTATAGAGATGTCAAAATATACTAAGTAACTCCAGTGACCTCTGTGCCACCTGTCCTTTTCCCTAAAACCTGATACCTACATTATAAGGTAGCAGCTTTGAGCTTAGAGGGCATTTTTACATCTATATTCCATATGTTTTGTTCCTCACAACCATATGAGAACAGCAGGGGAGGTAGCCTCCTCTCGTTACAAATAAGCTTGGCAAGCCTCAGTTTCTTCACGTGACCAATAAGTGACAGAATCAGAACCGGAACCAGATCTTTAGCCTGCTGGTCCTCTTTCCCTTGTCCCCAGAGACTTCCTCCTTCTGCAGTCTGACCTTCCATATCTATATCCATATCTATCTATATCTATATCTATATTTATATCTACATCTGTCTTATCCTTGTCTATATATACCTGTGTGTTTGTTGCGCAGACTGTGAGGCAATTCCATTACTTTGAGGCAATTCCTGAGAGAAAAGAACAGTGCTGGAGATATCCACAAAGACCTGTTCCCCAAGTGCCAGGGTCATTTTGGCAAGCATTTATTTGTTTTATCTCTTTCAACTGATGCAAATCACATATCCTGGAAACTGTCATTTCACTGATTCCATTTCATAGATAAAGAAATGGGCTCGGAGATGTTAAATAACTCGCTCAAGGTCATACACGTGGCCCGTCACTTAGGACTCAAACTCAGGCTTTGTAACTTCAGATCCAGTGCTATTTTGCCTTTGCACATGCTACTCCCCTGGAAACTCCCCTGCAGAAGTATATTCACTCTGGAAACTCTGAGTTCACTTTCAGCACATCCATAACTCACTCAGCCACATGATCATTCTTCTCATCCCCCACCAACCCACCCTCCCCAGTGCTGCCTGCCCTGCTCTTTACAGAAGAGAACCTTTTTCCTAGCCCTCCTTCCATGAGTCCATCTTTTACAAATCTTTCTGCATGGTTTGCTACTACGGAGGCCAATCCCAGAAGAGGATGGATGCCCCCAACCGAATGCTTCTTATTGGCCACTTCCCTTGCTTTTCCAAACAGTTGGGCTCTTCTGTTTGGTTGATGGAAAGAATGGTATGAGCTCTGGCAAGATCTCAAGCCTCAGTTTCTCTCTCTGTGGTCCTAAGTAATTTTGCAAACTAGACTAGGAAACAGATGAATATCCCGATAGAAGCATCCCTATAGAAGAACACGTTCAAGATTGCATGGTAAAGCGTCAAAGGAATCAGATGAA